ACTCGTTAAGTTAAAGGTTGGAGATGAACAGGATCATTTGCTCACTATAACCCTTGTAACAAGCAGTCTTTAAATTGAGCAAGGGCTCAGATGTTCAGTACCAAGGCTTATCCTTTGGAAAGTGAAGAAGATTCAAGTTCTGGTTATATACATGTGGAAAAGAACTTTCATTTTATATGAGAAGGTGCTTCCACACCAGGCATTTACTCTGGATTTTTTGCATTTCTTTTATTTCTAACCTCACTGCTGCTGTCATTTTCCTCTACAGTTCTTTGTTCTATACCTGCCAATGGATGCATCTTACAAAATGAACTATAGTCAGTTAAGGCTTACACCATAGTAAATGCATTAGTTTTTGTTGCTTTTTACAGGGCATCTGTGTGATGTTATCATGAAATCATTGTCCTGTGTTTTCCCCATAGTTTGTCAAATTTGTCAAATATCGAAAACCTACTTTAAAAAACATAAAACAGAGCAGTACCGCAATATCTGCAGGTGTAGGTTGCCCTAGTGTATTATTCTGTATTATTTTAAAAAGAGGTCTAGGTTTGACATGTGCAGTGTGCACATATCAGGCACTTGAGCCTGATATGCATCTATGCTTTAGCACATGTTCACTATTAAGCTTTCTAGTCAGCAGCATCAGTGCTTATATGAAATAAGTGTTTTAGTGCAAATTGAGAAGTTCATTTTTTAATATGCTGCCTTTCCCGTCAACGCCATTTTAGAAGCATGTTCTGCTAAGTTAGTTGCACAAGTGTGCTTAAATTAAACAGTGTTACTGTATACTGAAGAATTTCACATTTTTATTTTTAAAAGTCATGCTGCTAAAATGACATGCTCAATTGAACTTTCCATTCACCTCACCCACACAAGTTATGTTATGCCCAGTAGTGTAGATGGAACACAGCTGGATAGACCACTCAGAGCACCATATCCTCCAATGTGTAGAAAGTCATTAGCAATTCCACATGTAGGATTCAGCAGAAGAACAGTGAACTATAGTACTAAACACCACCAGTCTGAAAGCACCTTGAGTGACTAATCACCTCATCCTTCATATCTGGGACCGCAGTGGGAAGCAAAGTGTTTTAAGTAATGGGCTCTTCTCTCATTACAAATTAACTATCGGCAGCGAGACTTAGAACCAGATAATCTACACAGGTTTCTGTGGGACAGGGAAAAGCTTTCCCATGAATGTGGAAGCTGAAGGCCTCTACAAAACAGAAGACTGCAATACTCTGAGCACAAATACAAAGCAATGAGGTCAGCCCTTCAGCATACAGCTAGCAAAGGGAGGATCATGGTGAAACTGACGTCTCCTTAAGCTGCTTGTGTTTCTACTCTGTGCAAGAAAATAAAAAGCCAGGAAATTAGCATATATTTTCATCTACTTTTTTGGGGGGAGGGGGGCAAAGTGCAGTACAGCACACTGAGACTGTCCTCCGGCCCACTAAAAATCTAGTTACCCTTTCTTCCTATTCCTTATGGGAGTCCACTCCAGTTTGCTCAAAGCACTTTCAAGTCAATCTTTGCAAATCTTCCATTTGTTTTTAAAGTTTCATTTCAAATTTTGAAATAAAAGACGTTGAATTATGTGTCCAAGTACCAATTTTTTGTGTTTCTGTGCCATGTGTGGGGAACCTCTGGCCTGCCAGATGTTAATGAATACAGTTCCAATCATCCCTGGCCATTGGCAAAGCTTGCTGGGGATGCTGGGAACTGTAGTTCACACACTCTTTCTAAGTTACCTCCCTCCTATTGCCAACAAAGTAAGCCGTGAGCATAGAACTGTAACAGTTGAGGTTGAACAACACATACACACACACGCTTAATGAAGTACGGTACATGGAGGAAACTGAGCAACCTCTTTGCTTTCTTCTCCTCCCATAAGGAGATCACATTATGCTTAGCCCTTGGACAACAATGGTACACTTACAGGATGATTCATTGTAGTAGACATTGATCCTCTCCAGCTGCAACGGTGAGTCACCAACGTAGCCTCCAGCTGGGTCGATACCATGTTCATCACTGATCACTTCCCAAAACTTTTGAGAGGAAAAGGAAAAGAAAAGTGAGACAAACTCTCTGAGAAGATGGTCATCATCATAGCTCTCCCCCCCAAAAAAAAACCACACTCTGTGTATGCGTGTTTCCCTTACTCTTTATCTCTGCCACTAATTGCAAGTCATCGAAACCCACCCATCCTTGGCAGGGACAGAACAGGCCTCTGAGGCATGTGTTGAAGCAACAGCTGCCGAATTCTTGGCATGTTTGAAGGCTGTTCCTCTGAGCCCCTCCCTGCTCTAGGCTTGAACAGCAGAGAAAATATAGGGTGGGGTTGTGGGGGGGGGGATAAGGTCAAAAGCTAGGCAGATTCACATCAAGATTTCAAATCACAGAGAAAATGGTTAAAATCTCCAGCAGCATTTCTAGCTTGGGTTAATTCCCCTCATCCCCACCCCGCTGCTGCCTCAGGGGTTTTTTTCTTCCTTCGTTTCTGTTTTTTTCCAGAACCTTTTATGGTCAACGTGGAAGAGATGAGCTATTTAGTTCCCGTTTTGGTGGTTTCCCACTCTGTAGCCTATGTGAGCACGCACAAAATTAGAATCCGAGTTTGCTACAGAACAAGAAACTTCTCCCCAAAACAAGTGAAACTCTTAGGGAGAAAAAAATTGTTTATCACTTTCTTCCTAAATTCTTAAGGCACTAATGAATTAAACATACTTTTCCAAAAGTATCTTATTTTGCAGGTGGGTGTCTGAAGAAAGAGGTCCCAATAGCACAAAACAGAAAATCCTACTGTACCACGAGGATTTACAACTGGAACCACCAGGTGCTAAATACAACTTAGTAATAATAATAATTCCCCTTACCTTGGTTCCAATTTGGTTTCCACACTGGCCTGCCTGGATATGAACTATTTCCCTCATGCTGATATTTTACAAGCTCCTGATCAGTCTGCTTCTGTTTCTGCTTCTGCTTCTCTCTTTCTTTCTCTCTCTCTCTTCCTGACTCTACTTTGTAGAGTTCAGCTATGCACAATGTCCTTGCCTCAGTTAACGTTTTATTGGCTCCCGGTCTGTGATTCACCCTCCCTGCTCTGCTCACTCTGCAACTTCACAGAAGAATGAGGAGGAAGGGAAAAAATGCAGCAGCAACTGGCTCTGCCCCCCTGCCCAGCCTTCTCTGGGACTGTGTCTATATATGAATGACATTTCACTCCATTCTTTCAAAGCACTTCAACATTTTGAGCAGACTGCAAGTCTCTGTGCTTTTAAGTTGCCATGCATTATTATCCTCTAACTTTTGTAAGACTTATGCCAAGCCAAAGGCCACTAGTTGTATCATGCTGTCTCCAAATAATTGACAGGGCTTCATTAATGGTTCCTGAAAATCCAAACTGAGCAGGAACAGATTAATATAAATTCAGGAATCAACATCTAAGGTCACTAGTATAAATCCTGAAAAGGGACAATTGTGAAGTCTCTCAACCTGGATTAAGTACTTCCAAATAATCTGTAATGCATCTATTCGCCATCACCCCATTCCCTTTCTTCAGGTGCCACCACCATTCTAAGCAATATTGGTATATATTTTTTTGGGGGGGGCACCTTGTTTATGAAATTGTCTCTCAAGGGACATTGCTGGAAGAACCAAAGTTAGCCTCTGGCACCCTTAGGCAACTGTTGGGCCTCAGTGCCCTGGAATAGCTCATCACTGACCTCTGCCCTAAGTCCCACTACCCCTTGGTTTAAAATTAATTTTCCAACCCAGTGAATTAAACAGTACAAGATGGCTGGGTCTAGCTGCAGTTTTCATGTCTGTCTATGTTCCTGATGTAGGTTCAAACTGGGGCATTGTGGGAAATTCAAACAGCAGCTAGACGTAGCCACTCACTGCTGTTGTTACTGCAGCCCATTGTCCCAGAGCCTGTCAGAGAGGTGAGGGCCTATCAGAGGGCACTTTGCTCTCAGACCAGAAGCTGGCCCTAGGTGACAGATCTATTCAAAACTCTTAGCGTAGACTTTTTGGATTTAGGCTGTTGTGATATAGTTGGTGCTTGCTCTTGCTTCTATGTGTCTTTTGTGAGCAATTTTTAAAGTGTTGTTATAATATAGCTAGTGTTGAATACTGTATTTCTGTATTAATATTTTTTTAATTTAAATAGCCCCTTGTTGCTCCTGAAGGCGAAAAGGAAGCGTAATCAAGCAATCAAAATTTGGTAAACTTTTGCTGTGAGGGAGAGAAACTCTGTGGTTGCCATTAGGGTTGACTTTACACTGTGTGGCCTAGTACCTTTTGTATGGAAGCTGCTGCCAGAACAACAACTGTGAAGGTTGAGAGCCTTCAGAAAGGAATTGTTTCCAAAGGAAGAGCTGGAGGGGAGAGAAATTCTATGGCTGCCAACAGAGGGTGACTGGTTTCACCTGTGTGATGCTATCCTAAGACGTCTTATCACAGACGAGCAGTAAATGAGCCAGGAATTATATAATAAGTTGACTGCTAGAGTAGTCTTCACACACGATCTTGGCAGATGATGCCACTGTAAAGCAGTGGGTAGCAAATACCGGCCTTCAGGTATTTTGAATTCTCACCGTTTGGCGTGTTCTCTATGCTTAGTCGGGGTTGATGGGAGTTGGAGTCTAAGAACATTTGGCTACCCCTAATAAGCATTAATTAATTAATTAATTAATATTATTAATTAATATTATTAATACCTAATAAGGGACGCAGGTGGCGCTGTGGGTTAGGCCACGGAGCCTAGGGCTTGCTGATCAGAAGGTCGGCGGTTTGAATCCCCGCAACGGGGTGAGCTCCCGTTGCTTGGTCCCAGCTCCTGCCAACCTAGCAAGTAGATAAATAGGTACCGCTCTGGCGGGAAGGTAAACGGCGTTTCCGTGCGCTGCTCTGGTTCGCCAGAAGCAGCTTAGTCATGCTGGCCACATGACCCGGAAGCTGTACGCTGGCTTCCTCGGCCCATAGAGCGAGATGAGCGCCGCAACCCCAGAGTTGGTCACGACTGGACCTAATGGTCAGGGGTACCTTTACCTTTACCTAATAAGCCATCCTCAAGAGAGAGACCTTGTTTTCTCTTGCATGTTTAGCCCAAATTTCATTATGTCCCAAAGCACCAGGGAGTTATCGGCATAAGTGATTTTTAATGGATGTAAATCTCTGTCCTCGTCCCACCTGAGTTATTGCTACTAATGCTATAGAAATTACATAGCCAGTGATATGGGATTTTAGACTCAGTTACTAAGAAATAGCTCCTGGCTACTCTGTTTCTAGTGGACAAGTGTCCACATCATAAAAAAAATTATGAGTCATGCTGCTATGTGAAATGGCCCTTACTTTATACTTTGGTATGGTCTAAGTGCAATGGACACTAATGGGCAGTTGGCTATTCCAAGCAGCTGGAATCCAAGTCATGCCCACCTGCTAGGGTGGGCCCGAAACAGCTTTGTCTACGAGAGTATTGTGAGAAGAGCTGGAAGCAACAGTTTTGTATTTGGCTGGCAGAGAGATTACTCAAATTTGGGAGAGAGGAGATTCAATGTTGAAGTCCTACCTATTTCAAAGTGAGTTTTTAAGTCAATGAAACTTAACTTTGAATTGATTATGTCTCAGACAATCTCTACTCTAATATGAATGCCTTTTTTAAACTTCATATGATTAGGGAAGGACAAGCACTGAAAAATATACTGGTTGACACCCTTAATTTCAATAAGCTCATAGTCTTAAGACATAAGGATGTGCACTACAGGCTTTGTAAGATGTAATTTAAACACTGAAGACCGAGGTATACATAATGAAGAAATGGAGGCAAATTGATGGTGCACTTGTACAGTACAGGAAAAAAGTTAAGTGGTAAATTTGTTCAGTACCCAAGACACAGTCACCTAATTCCAAGCAGCCTATGTATGATATTAAGAAGAAGAAATGGAAAATGCTACTTACTGCTCTGGAAAAACACTACTGCAGTACTTCCCCAATTTGTTTGTCATGAGATCTGTTTTGTTAAGCCTTTTCCTGCTTTTCAGGAAATATGTTAACATTCTGTGTAGGGTTTTTCTTTGGAGCATTTATATTAGCTGGCAGAGTCTGTCACGGTCTGTCAAGAAAGGTGGGAAAGAGACTGGTCTAAGCAATCTCCACTAGCCCACCACAACTAATGGAAGAAATATATAAAAGGTAGCCATGCTGCTCTCGTTGCACAGAAATCACTGAGAAGGTAGCTGCACATTTTGTCTCATTATTTTCTTTCAAGGGGCTTAGAGACTTACTTAAAAAATAAAAATAATAAAGCCAAAGTCTTGCCCAAGGTCACCATGGGAAGCCTTCATGGGCACCATAGTGCCTGTGAGCACCAAGTTAGTGACCTATGATCTAACTAATCATCACTAGCTCATATGTATCTGGCACCATGAACAGCCCAATTCAGCCTACTACTCTGAGGCCTCTTGACGTTTTATTTGCTTAGATTCTACCCACAGAGGGAATGGTTCAATTCCGGACAATCCCAACTAGATTAAGGATAAACAGGGCAACAGAAGCTATAGCTCTACAGCTCCAGCAGCCAATTACAAAAAGAAGAAGTATATGGTATTGTAAAAACACAGTAGTAATACCCTGCCCCCACCGCACAGTCCCTCTCTCAAACAAGACTGCTCTGTGTTGACCATGTATAAACATGGCCTTTCAGCAGACGACACAAAGAGTGTGGCAAAACTTCATACAGAGTGGAATTGTCACATAGATGCATGTGATTTATTTTTGAAACTTTTTCTTCAGTGAGCAAACCATTTGTTACACACAAATTAAAACTGTTAGCTATGTTACCATACCCATGATTTAAGAACATATGAATGCTGAGAATGTAAAGAGGTCAGTATGGCCTCTGTTCATCCAGAGCCCACCCCACAGGCCGCCCACGTTGAAAAAAAATCAATCTATCTCAAGGCCCATTTGTTAAACAGTGTGTGCAAAACATGGGATTACATTACATATCATTTGCTCAACATAATGTATTGCATTGAGAAAGGAGAGTAAAGGCACTTTTGTAATCTCTGTGCTGGCAGCATTTAAAGACGTGCAGTTTGCACTGCAAAATCTCTGCTGCCCTTACTCCAGCTTCATGTGAAATTTAACATGAAAAATAAAAAAATAAGCTACATATATAACTCTGATCTTCTGCAATATAAATAAAATACTTCGTTAGGTTTTAAACACCTATTGACACTGTTAAAGGATTGAAATAAATGTTTGCTTGTAAGTTTTAGTATGTAACTGGTTGTTTTTTTGTTGTGTAGGGAAAGCAACAGGTCTCATCACCAGCTGACCATGTGAGCGAACTTGAAAACAGAGTTTATCCTTGGATCAGAAGGCAGTCAGAGCTATTGGGCCTACATAGTTTCCTCAGAGGCCAGATCAATCCTGGGTATATAGGTATGTACCAGTAACCAGTTAGGAGCAGAAGCAAATTAAGACTTCATTCTTGGGAAGCACCTGACGAACTGTTAAGGACTGCTCCTGCCATGTCTTATTAGGTAGAAAAATGCTAGGCAAATGTGAAAAATCAATGGCAAAACTATGACATCACAATATAGTATCAAGGGTCCCAGAGACAAGCATATAGAATAATGATGAAAATCCAGAGCAAGCCAGAGCAAATTCTCACACCAGCCAGAATTCATTAACAGCCTCTCTGAAGTATTGTATCAGTACTCACACATTAGAGACATCAGAACACTGCTTTCCTTGAATGGGATAACCATCCAGGGTTGTTGTTATTGTCATGCAACTATGGGTGACTGCTTTTTGGCAGTGGTCTGATTCCATAGATGTTTTTGTGTATTGTTGACATCCAAAATGCATTTAACAACAAACTGATATTATTCAAGGAAGAAAGGGTAGCAGAGTCATTCAGAAATGTTAATATTAGTAAAAAGTAAAATAATAGTTACTCATTTCAGGATTTTTTACACTGCTTAACACTCAAAATTTCTAAGCAGTGTGCATAACATGTTTCTTAAAAGTATGAAGAACAATTAAAAATTCACCATAGAAACAGAAACATACATAAAATGCCCATTGAAATAGAAAAGTCTTTGTCAAGTTCAGCAATGGGGGGTGGGGGCTATTTAATGTCAGTTGAGAGGGAGTTCCACAGGATTAGAGCCACAATACTGACTGAATGGCTTCTGGAAGTTACAAACTGTGCATCTGAACTATGTTTTATTGTGTTTTTAATATTTTGTGGGGAGTGGCCCAGAGCAGCTGGGGCAGGGTTATAAGGAATCAGGCGTACCTTAAGTTATTACGGACCCAAGTTGTAAGGGCCTTGTTAATTAATACAAGAACCTTGAACCTAGTCTGTTAACAAATGAGTAAGCATTGCAAGCTTTTAACCACTAGTTTTAAGTGCCGGCAGTAGCCTGCCTCCATCAGCAGTCTAGCTGCAGCATTTTGCGCCGGCTGGAGCTTCTGAACCAGGCACAAAGGTTGCCTCTTACACAGAACATTGCAATAATCCAGTCTAGAGGTTACCAGTGCATGAATCAACATGGCCAGGCTGTCCCACTCCAAGAATGGCTGTAGTTGGCATACCAGCTGTAGCTGTAGAAGTGCACTCCTAGCCGCAGAGGCTGCCCAAACCTCAGTGAACTATGACATCTTCAATTCCTCACCCACCCCCATGAAATGTTGCAACATGGCACAAACATCAGAGACACAGAAACTCTCATTTACAGCCAAGGACAAAACATTTCTGCACCCTTTATTCAACACAACTATCAACGAATGGACCCTCTAATTAGTTCTGCACCATGATGAAAGGTGTAATTTTTCACAGTTGCAAACATACCCAATGTGCAATGAGCGAGGGAGGGAGGAAGAAAGAAAGAAAGAACTATGTGCAAACGAAACTAACTTAACTAGCAACGTGGCCAACTAAACTGCCTCGCTACAACCATCAAGAAACACATTTTTTAGCATGTAAAGCTAAGCAGATGCCAATAAAGCAGTTGAGAAGCACAAGGTGGCTAAAAGTGCCACTTTTTATTGGATAAAAGAGTCTGTCAGCTTTGAGGTTCCCAAAGCAGGTCTTAAGGCTGAATGAAGGAATTTTAAAGTACTATAATTTATAGCTTGCAAAAGCAGGCAAGCAAGCAGCAATCAAAATCCTATTAATAGTTTTCTTGGGCAGTTCTAACAGCTAAGCATATCCATGAGTATGCATCAATAGGTGAGAAAGGGTGCTTTCAGACAGGAGTTTATCATGGCATTGGTGCTGCTTATGCACGTGTTTTTCACAGAGTCCATATGATGTAGTTGTCATCAAAATGCCAGTCTACTTTGTTGACATGTAATCCAGATTTCTCCTTAATTCAGAAAACTTGGTAAGTAAAAATAACCTGCTATACCTCCACTGCCATGGCTGATGTGGAAGCACATTTTGGGGTGGGCTCGATTGTCATGGTTGTGGTGATGTTTCATGGGTGATATCTATCACCACACTCATTTCCTCTTCACCAAAGTGCAAACGAGCAATTTCGTTTCCAGCAGCCCAAATGATAGAAGTGTGCCTATTTCACGTGATGGATGAACTTTGGGTCTAATCACCTTCATCCCAGTGGGGAAATGTATCCAAAGTGGACCCTCCTCTGCTCCTGCCCTCACCCCCAATCAGTTCAAAAGTTGCTCTACTACCCTTTTAGTTTTAAGCACCAATAGACTGGTTCCACCCCAGTTCAAGTAGAGCCCATTCCATTTGTACAGCCCTGACTTGTCCCAAAATGTTCCCCAGTGCCTAACAAATCCAAACCCCTCCTCTCAACACCATTGCCTTATCCAAACATTCACACACTGAGACTACAAAGCTGTCTAGTTGCTCCTGAATGTGGAACTGGTAGTATTTCAAAGAAGGGTACCATGGCTTTCAGCATTCTACCTAGCAACCTAATTGTTACTTACGTTGTTGTTGTTGGATGAACACTTTTAGCATTATACATGTGTCAGGGGCTCAGGAGCAGAGGCGCAGGGGAGAGAGGAAATGGAGAGCGAAGGGGAAGAATCCGAGGGCAGCGGAGGGCAGAATGACAGTGACCCGAGAGATTCCATAAGCCTCTCCAGTGAATCAGAAGATTCCCAGAAGGGTGCGCCGATGGCCAGGGCAAGGGGGGTCCCAGGGGGGACACACCAGAAGCAGGGGGCCAGCGGAGACTCCCAAAGCAGTAGCTGGAAATCAGGGCCAGCTTCCCCACCAGAGCGTAGTGGGGGGGAAGAGCCCCATAGGTCAGAGTCAGCGTCTCCTCCGGCAAGCAGCGACAGGAGCAGTATAACGGTCAGAAGGAAGGTGGCAGGCTGGGCGCGCGCGCCAAGTTCAAATGTACAGGCGCGCGGGACAGCAGAAAGCCCGGATTGGGAACCAGGTCCTAAAGCCCGCCGGAGGGAGGGGGAAGACTCGGGGGAGTCAGCGTCAGAAGAGTCTAGAAAGGGGAAAACCCCGGCGGACAGGCGGACCCAGAGGAAGAGGGAGCAGAGAAAGAGGTGGAGCAAAGCTAGGGTCTTAAACTGGTGTCTGGGGGGAGGAGACTCAGACGGAGCTTCGGCGGTCTAGGGTTTAAGACGTAGAGCTGCGCGCCGTGGCTGTAAATGAGAAACTGAACTTCAATAAAAACTATTTAATATAACAACGGACTGGCGTTGGTCCTCTGTGAGCTGGGACCAGGGGCAGCTCTGACAACATGTTTCTATTGATCTTTTCAATTCTTGGAAGTTGCTTTGAGACTCTTGCAAAAAGCAACAAACACATTTAATAAATAATAATTATATGCCAATATTTCAATAACACCAAACATATAATTTGAAGAGTTAAGGGGGATAGACAATATATTTAGCAGAAATAGTTAAATGCAAGATCTCAATGTATACAACAACTAAAGATCTAATGCATGCTTGAGATTCCTTCCACTTTTAACAAGAGACCAATTATCTGCCCCCGCCAAAAGACAAGCAGTTTTACTTACATAGCATCTTTCATCTGCATTATTTAAAAGAACTACAGAGACCTTTGCTAAGTCTCACCATAAAACTACAAGATTAGCAGTTACTGTGAAACTGAAGCTGAAACTAAAGCTTGTAGCCATTTTATTCTCACTGAAGTGGTCAAGCTGAATACATATGGGGACTCACATGAGTCCCTCCATGCAAAACATTCTCTTCATGTAGAAAAAAAGGATATTGGGGAGAAGGTTTGTAACTTAATATTATTCCTGACATGTTCATCTTTCATGTGCAGAGAATGTGTGAGGAGCATCCATGTGGGCATTTACCTACCATCCTAATGCAGGTTTATCCCCTCAATGACAACTAGTCTTAGGACTACTAAGGTTTTTATAATAGTGTGACTCATTTTTATCTGTCACTTTTATCTTCCTTTAAAGAGTGCAGAGTGGCATTATTAATAATAATAATAATAATAATAATAATAATAATAAAAAAAAAAAAACAATATGTAGGTCAGTCTTAGAGAGAGCTTCTCCAGTACAGAATAGGTTTGCCAAGGTCAAGTCCTATCCTATACACACTTGTCCATGAGTGAGACCCCTGAAGTTGAGGAGGCTTACTTCTGAGTAGGCATGGAGAGGATTACACTGCCCAAATCAGTTTCAAGCACACAAATGAGTGAGGTCAAATAGTCAAAAATGATTTTGAAAAGTTTATATGGCATTTATTTACCCAACTCTCTTGCACCTGATGATGTGCTAGCTGCTGTATTCCATTGTTAGCTTCCCAAGCTCCTGCATTTGCCTGCCTTTCTCTGAGTCCTCTCTCTAATCTCACACGTTTTTCTCCTCTGCAAAAAAACATGAGAATGAGACACACTGGAAACAAACTCACAGGCGAACTTTCCCTGGCATTGAAACACATGTGATTAGAATTTTGCCTGCTAGGCCTCAATCTGTACATGTTTGTCTACTTTAAAATGTTGAAGAAGCCCATGCCCCACCTGTAGTCTATGTGATTTTACTGAGAAAGGACATGAAATGAAGAGACCTGAAAACAGAATAAACCTGTGTGGGACCTCTGAATAATAATTCTAGTCTGGCCCCATCACTTTGTAAAATTGAACTGTTAGCACTGAGAGTCACAGCTATATAGCTGAGGCAAAGAAAGGCTTTATAAATATTGGACTATAAACATTGTTTCCCCAAGAGGAAAAAAATCAGTGGGGAAATCAAATCAGGAAGTAGAGGAATTTTGCATACAGAATATGAGCAGTGTCTGAGTCAAACAGGAGTGAGTACTTGAGACAGAATTCCTTTTTTGGAAGCTAGACAGTCACACTGTTTCATTATCATTAGATTGGCAGTAAGTAATGCAGTCACACAAGAAATACCACTGTTGTGAATGCAAGGAAGCACTAGTTTCCACCATGAATTGAT